TACAATATGCCACAATTTGTCCATTTTATAGTTGATGAATATTTAGATTGTTTCCAGTTTTTTGCTATTAAAAATAATGCTGTAATATTCTTGTACATGTACATATGCATGCATTTCTCTTGTGTACGTATCTAAGAGTGGAATTGCTCAGTCATAGGACAGATAAACCACACCTTATTTAACCATTCTCCTTTTGATGGATGATCGTGTTATGCTGCTGTGAACATTTCTGTGTATGTGCCCTGGTACAAAACTGAATATGATAGACATTCAATAGAGTAGATACGTAGACATGTAATTGCACAGTCAGGGCATGTGTATATCTTCAACTTGATTAGATAATGTAAAATTGTGTGCCAGAGTAGTTTGTGCCAGTTTACGCTCTCACCAACAGGGTATGCATTGCTTGCTACACATTCTTGCCGTTATTATCTGACTTTACATTTTTGCCAAGGTGGAAAATGTGTCATGGTGTATTGTGGCTTTAATTTGCATGTTCCTGATTACTAATGAGGTTAAACAAGTTTTTGTTTATGGGCCATTTTGGGTTTTTAAATTTTAATTTTTTCTTCTTATTCTTTAGTGTGGAGATGTACTTTCCTCAGAATGACTCTTGGATTGGCTTGGCACCCCTAAACATTCCTCGCTATGAATTTGGAATATGCGTTTTAGACCAAAAAGTGTATGTTATAGGTGGTATTGAAACTAATGTGCGTCCTGGTGTCACTATCAGAAAACATGAAAATTCAGTGGAATGCTGGAATCCTGATACAAATACCTGGACTTCTCTAGAGAGAATGAATGAGAGCCGAAGTACCCTTGGAGTAGTAGTACTTGCAGGAGAACTCTATGCTTTAGGTGGTTATGATGGACAATCTTATTTACAATCTGTAGAGAAGTATATTCCCAAAATAAGAAAATGGCAACCTGTGGCACCAATGACTACAACAAGAAGTTGTTTTGCTGCAGCCGTATTGGATGGAATGATATATGCCATTGGTGGATATGGTCCTGCCCACATGAATAGGTATTTAAATTAATAATCAAATTATATTATGTTTGTTGGTTTTTTAAAGTATCATAAACAATGATTTATGAGTTTTAAACCATTTTGTGTGTATGAAAAA